AATTGATATGAAGGTTCGAGTTGAGAGCACAAGGGATGTATCTAATAGTGAAAGAGAGTCGATCAGCAGCGATAGTGAAGATGACAAAGAAGAATCAGATGTGCACGTGGAATTCACTATACGAGTTGACGAGAATCCTGCCAATAGGAGACGCAAACACAGCATATATGGGTAAGACGCTGGGCTACTGACGCTGAGTTGGTAAGACTGTATAAATGCGGGGAAAGCTCGTGGTGATGATGTAAATAGGGAATATTGTGATGGACAATGTGCATTAGATCGTTTTTGGCACTATAGGGCGCGTTTCGGGCTTGCATTTTTCTGAAATGTGATAATAAACCCAGTAATGTCAATGTCCAAATAACTCGTAAGTACATAAAAACTAAAGGTTAAAACGGTCAACAAAATGTCACCAAAGGCAGCGTTTAATTCTTCTGGAATCGTCCTCTTTTCTTGTAAATCCGATTGGCTTTAAAACATATCAATAACATTCGCCTAAGAAAGTAAACAAACCGCTGTGACCTCAGTGACTCATGCATTCATTCCTTTATTTCCATTGCCAATCTTAACGTCCACGTATACTGACTAGACATACTGTACTGAAGCATTTTAGTCGACAGCAAGAGAAAACATTGTGCTTCTCAGATATAATAATCAACGCACATCGTAGCATTTTTCAGTGACTATAGTTGAATTTAAATGGTTACATTGAGAAACGCATGAGACGGCCTTCGATGCCATTAAAATGTTTCCCTTTCCTTATCATTCAATTGCCCCTGAACCCGGCGCTGTGCTTGCACCTGCAATGCCTACCAGAACGCTCTGGTATGCACGCACCTGTTAGAGCCAGTATTTATATGTCTGTTATTCTTTCTTTCTTTCAAACATACTAAATGACACGAGACGATACAAACGCAAATTGAAAACGCACATCACCGCGTGTTACAGATGTGAAAACACATTACTTTGATCGTGAACAAGTAACTTTGATGGTGAACCTGAGTAGCTGGGTGCCATTTTGACCAGTGCCTCGTATGTCCCAAGGTCAATCACAGTAAGGTTACCTAAAGTACACATTGCAATAGCCTGTGCAAATACACGTTATTTTGTCGTCAATATACACTGCCCTAGGCTGTTGGTATACATATATATCAGGTCTTTATATGTGAGGAAGTTGTGCCGCAGTAAAAACTTAATGAAACAAAAACCACACAACACAGCTGTTGGACCATGCGATTTCTACCAACGCGTTCGTTATATTCATGGAAAATATCGGCGGCGAAAGGTTAATATATATTTAATCCTTGTATCGACAATATTTTCAATATTCGACGATATATATATATATATATATATATATATATATATATATATATATGATCAGTAAATCTTTTCTGTATGTAATACGCGAAGTAGTCCCGTTCCACCACAATCACAGCGTTTATCCTTTTTTCTTGGACTCAGCCGTCAAAACATGATTGTCTGAGCCTAGACACAATAGACCAGGGCAACAAGGATGGCCCGATATAAAATGGAATTTGTAACAAAAATACTTTATTTTGGAAATTGTTAGGGAAATAAGAAGATTCGGGAAATTTATCACGGTCTTTAATTCTACTTTATAGCGGAGCAATCTGATTATTTTCGAGGATTTTTAAATTAAAATGAAATAATCGCACCTACGAAATTGTCAGTTATCTTTTAGATGTAAAATATCCGCGCGTCTTTCAAATAATTACCCTATATTTCACGGCAGTTTTGGTCTATTTTATTATTGATGTATTGTTTCTAAATCACGTCCAGTTATTTTTGCAGTTTCAGTTGTGAGGATATATTTGTCGTTGAATAAGTGTGGTTATTATATAAAGCCAATTCAAATAATGATCGAGCTTGATTGCAACATGTCAATTTCATTTTGATGCATGTGATCTATTCTAAGGACACGCAAACGTATTGTTATGAGGCGCTGTGGAAGTCTGCAAAGATATATGGTATCCACGGCTGTCATATAGAATTGCCAGGCTGATTTGGCATATGAAGCTGGATACAGCCTTACAATATTCTTCATGTCTGTTTTGGTATTGAGGCCGTTTTGTATGGTGTTTAGATGAAAATGGAATTACAGAAACATATATATATATATATATATATATATATATATATATATGGGGTATTGAAATGTTTTTGGCGTCTTTTGAAAACAGGATATTCAATTTTCTGCATTAAAACAGAGAGATAAAAGGCAACAGATGGCCTAGATTACAAATGTTAACTGGTTTAAAGAAAATATTACGTACCATAACTCTAAATTATCAGTAGAGATTGAGGAGAAAAAAACAGTGCGTTGATTCTGATTTATACATTTGCCGGGTATTAAAAGTGACAAGTAGGGGTGCTGATATTTAGGAAACGTGTACTTTGTAATATGTTGCAGCCCACAGCAGACTGGCTTCTGAACGAACGCCACGGCGCCTTTTGGGATTATTGCCAAACGTGGAATAAAGTCTTAACTTTCAGAGAGCTGTTACATATCTCAGTGTTTCAAAGAATAATTGGGGGATGTGTGTTTCATTCTTTACAAACTACTGGGAATTAGTTCCATAGCCTCTAGTATGATGCAATGCATCCAAAAAGACGCGTGGCTAATGAAGAGAACGCCGACATATGGGTTAATTGCACCTTCCAGGTGAAAACGGGAACGCTGCCAAAGTGTGTGTAGGGCGTGCTGGGACACAGTGAAGCCTCAGAGGATTGTTTTTATTGGGCTACAGAAAAGTGTACAGTCTGATCATATTTTAAGGCGATGAAACGCTCTTGAAGGGCACACTGAATGAAACAGCGATAATTTTTACCCTGTTAATGTATTATATTATTAGCGGTTAATATTCCCTTTGTCATAAATTAATTTCTCTAAATGGTTTACCTGTAAATCAGTTCATGGAAAAGAATGTTTAAACACACGATCGTTGTGAAAATAATCTGTCTACATATAGGTTTTTCTAGGCTAGAAAGAGTAACATATTAAGGAGATATGTGATACAATGATAATTAAGACGAAAACATATTTATGACAAAAACACCTGAGGTCCAATACTGATTAACAATCAACGCACCAGTTCCACGTGGTTTTCTACCTACTTGCTGAGTGCGATTGGAATTTCTTATGCTTAATGAAAGGGCACCATTTTGTGAAACAACAAGCAACCCCAGGGTTGTAACATTGATAACAGGTATCCTGATGCGTTGTTTATCTATTCTATCGATTTTACACCTGACGTAGTTTTAGCACATGTTCCTCTATTTTCACTTGCATCTAGGAGGCGTGCCATTGTATGGTGTGTGTATGTTCTATTGCTGAGTGTATATGGTTTTTGTCTTCTCTTACCATTGTATACGTGTTGTGTTGTCAATGTTTAGTGTATATATGTTCTGTTGCCAGTGTATAGTGTATATGTGTTCTGTTGCCAGTGTATAGTGTATATATATGTTCTATTGCCAGTGTACTGTATATATATGTTCTGTTGCCAGTGTACAGTGTATATATGTTCTGTTGCCAGTGTATAGTGTATATATGTTCTGTTGCCAGTGTACAGTGTATATATGTTCTATTGCCAGTGTATAGTGTATATATGTTCTATTGCCAGTGTACAGTGTATATATGTTCTGTTGCCAGTGTACAGTGTATATATGTTCTGTTGCCAGTGTACAGTGTATATGTGTTCTGTTGCCAGTGTATAGTGTATATGTGTTCTGTTGCCAGTGTTTAGTGAATATATGTTCTGTTGCCAGTGTATAGTGTATATGTGTTCAGTGTACAGTGTATATGTGTTCTGTTGCCAGTGTACGTGTGTTCCTTTGCCAGTATATAGTGTATATGTGTTCTATTGCTAGTGTATGTGTGAATAAGTGCTCTGTTCTTCTTTTCTAGAATACTCTTCTGGAATTTCAGTTCCTTGCGTGTCTGTGTTCTTTTAGAATTTCTTTTAGAATGGATTTAGGAAAATAAACGTTTTGGTTGGGTTTTATAGCGTTATATCTCCTCTCTTATATTTATGATAAATGCCCAAGTAATTTCTGTTGAGTTAATATGATCATACCATATTGCTGCCGTGATATTTAGCGATCATTTATTCCCTATCTGCTTTGACCTTTACCTGGTCCAAAGAACCAAAACCTTTTACCTTTTAAAGGGAAAGCAACTGGACAGTTAGACAGGTGTAAAGATAGTTATCAACATTATGAACCACCCTCGGTCATTCAGTAAACATTTTACTGGACCCTGCTGGGCCATGGAGCAAATGTGGCTGAGGCGATAGTCAGTCAGGTTCAGGGTGACTCCGAATTTGTCGGTCACGTAAACAGTGAAGTGAATTTGTGATCAAATTTCGCAGAATGAAAAAAGGCCCGGGGGGGGGGGGGGGGTAAGCGGAAATCTGAATTGAAAGTTTGAGCGGTCCAGAATCGCACAATGGAATACAGTGGTGTCTTCCCTTATGTTACAAGACACAATACAGCAATCGCAAAACATGCTTCTACTGTACTTTGATAATTATCGTTAACATAAACTGATATAGGAAAGAGACCTAGATTGACTTCGCAAGTTCGCCAGGTTATGGTAATCAAATGACAAGCAGAACCAAAATTCTAAAAATAATATTTTCAATGTTTATAGTAATGCATTTTTTAAACATACATTAACTTAATGAACTTATGCACATAATGTTAACGGCGCAGTACATAAATTGCTTACTTGTTAGTATGATAATATAAGTATTAATCAGCATGTTATTTAGATTTGTCCATTCATGTAGTTTTGAGGCTGCTACAGGATTTTTGTTTAATTTCCCATGGAGATGGCTGGTACATGTTCCCATGGCGATGGCTGGTACGTGTTCCCATGGAGATGGCCGGTACATGTTCCCATGGAGATGGCTGGTACATGTTTGAGATTCACCGTGATAGTATTTATTTTAAGATGTCTGTGTCCATTTGTTTTCCAGCGTTCCTACCTTCCAGGAATTACCAGAGGAAACACTAAGTAAACTTGCAGATGTTCTAGAGGAGGTAAGCCACTGTTTATTCTTTTATTTATTTTTGAAACTGAACTTGTATTCACCTTCACTTTAACCTAATAAACTTGACTGATATTGGTAACGGCATATAGTAGTACTTTGGACAATAGCACAGTCAGCCACCCTCTGCCCCAGTGTCAGCCACCCTCTGTCCCACTGTCAGCCACCCTGTCCCAGTGTAAGCTACCCTCTGTCCCAGAGTAGGCCACCCTCTGTCCCACTGTCAGCTACCCTCTGTCCCACTGTAAGCCACCCTCTGTCCCACTGTCAGCTACCCTCTGTCCCACTGTAAGCCACCCTCTGTCCCACTGTCAGCCACCCTCTGTCCCAGTCTCAGCCACTCTCTGTCCCACTGTCAGTCACCCTTTGTCCCACTGTCAGTCACCCTCTGTCCCACTGTCAGCTACACTCTGTCCCATTGTCAACCAACCTCTGTCAGCCATCCTCTGTCCCACTGTCAGCCATCCTCTGTCCCATTGTAAACCATCTGCCTAGCCACATAATACGTTTGCTTACAGAGGATATTTTGTTATGGAAAAGTTGATGTTTATTTCAAAATAAGGCAATGTGTTTTCCAGTTGTAATTCGCACATGTCGTTGCTCGAATTCTGATCCTAGAATAGTGCGGATATATTGACAACATTGTATTGCCTGTTGCCCAGATTGTTTTGTTGGCACTGTTAATAGGTTTAAAACAAAGCGAGTTATGAATTGCGAGTTTGCGTCCTGTTTGTAACTAGAAATAACTACAGGCTTATAGACTGCACATTTCATCAGTATTATTAATTCAAAGCCACATGCAAATATAAACAGTGGCTTACTTTACTGCGTCGGATCTGATTTGCTCCCCATTGAAACTATTAGGTGCCGAGTAACAACTGGGACGGTTTTCTTTGAAAGGTGGACTTTATTGATCTTGTTTCTTTTATGTATTAAGCAAAAAGGTACCATCAAGTGTACTGCTCTAAACAGAAAGTTGAAAGCGGCTCTTGTCAGCGGGAGAGGGGTAGAGCTGATTTACCTTTGAATATGATTTAAAGCATTCCTTGGGTAGATTAGTTAAATGGTTAAAGTCGGTTCATTGCTTCAATGGAAATTACTTGAGTTTATGCAAGAACAAGAAAAACGAGTTTTATCTATATGCAACCAGATCAACTCTTCCCGCATAACCACGCAAAAGCCCTTTTTCACTTGGATACCCAAAGGCGCTTTGAAATCGAAGATTCAGTTTTACTGCCGTATGAACCGGTATTCCTTCTTAATGACTGGCAACAGGGTGGGGTAAGATTGCCCTCACATGCCATCAAAGACGAGGTTAAGAGCAAGATTGATTAATGACAATTGTGTCTCTTTTTATTGAGATACTGGAAAAGAGTCGCTAAATAACATTTTTAAAAATTTCATTTGTAAAGTCTACAGAGCATATTTTAATGGATTTTTACTCTTAATAATGATTATTATTATTAAATCTGTAATGTTTTTTAAGATTAAAAGCAACTTGTTTGCTGTCCTCCGTATATGTCAATTTCTGTTGTGATTGCACCAGTTCCAGTTTGCTCGTTGTAAAACACATCAAATGGCATGTTTTTTTCTCATTACTCATTACTGTAAAAAAAAAATCATTAAAAACACCAACATAAATGTATTTCATACGAACCAACTGGTTGTGATGGCTAGACATCAAATCAGTTTATTTCAAGAGTTATTATGCTTTGATTTCCAATGGAACATCTTATTTTTGGGGTTAGGAATAGTTTGCATCTCTTGGAGTGCCTCTCCAGAGGTTGATGGTTTCAACCGCCCAGGGTAATGCCAAGCGCTCCCACTTGACCTTCTGGTCGTTGAGTTGGGTGTCTGTAAACACGCTAACTGACATGTTCGATATGATCTACAGCAACCGGTGCCACAGAGGTCGATTTGCATTATAGGGGCCCTGTGGGATGTTTTAACTGAGGCTCTTTGGGGTCTCTTCTTTGCCTGTGCCTAGCAGGGCTGTGTATTGTAATTATTATGTGTAGGATTTCTCACTTCATTCTGAGGATATACCCATGATATAAAGGTGCAAAACCAATTAAATGCAGTCACATGTCGTTTCTTAATTTTCCCGCTTGTCATGTACCTTGTGATCCCGTGGTACTATCTTGTCTTTACTATTTGTCTTTATTCAGTGATCCCATGGTACCATCTTGTCTTTACTATTTGTCCTGTATTCAGTGATCTCATGGTACCATCTTGTCTTTACTATTTGTCCTTTATTCAGTGATCTCGTGGTACCATCTTGTCTTTACTATTTGTCCTTTATTCAGTGATCTCGTGGTACCATCTTGTCTTTACTATTTGTCCTTTATTCAGTGATATCGTGGTACCATCTTGTCTTTACTGTTTGTCCGGTATCCAGTATTCTCGTGGTACCAACTTGTCTTTACTTTTTGTCCTGTATCCAGTATTCTCGTGGTACCATCTTGCCTTTACTACTAGATCTTAGCGATGAGAAAGCTTGTATTCAGTGGTCTCATGGTTTCTTTTCAGGCTCATTACAACAGTGGAGAATATATCATACGGCAGGGAGCCCAGGGCGACACCTTCTACATCATAGCAAAAGGCATTGTGAGTAACTGTAACAGCGACCTTCCTATAATAATCATTATTATCGCTTTTAATGTAACTGCATCTTACCCATAAACAGATACATGTAGGATAGATTACAAAAAAATCTGGTCGGCTAATAAATTAACTCGTGGCTTTATGAGGTAAAAATACAATTTATGTACACCGTGATTATCTGGAAAATTGCTCAGTTTTGCCCAGTTGTTGTTGCGTGACAAGCGTCCATAAACACATTTTAAGGAAATAAGAGAAAAGGGAGAGGCCTTGAAGAAAAGTCGTAATGCAGAAACCGAGAGATTAATAATAAAATTCGAACTATGTTTTGGGATTTCTTAAGGCAAAGCTAAAGCCTAGATTACATTTGCCACGGGCGCCGTACGATGGAATCGTAAACGATTGCCTGCACGATTTTTTGACATCGTAAGGGGCTGCAGGCCACGCCGAGTATGTCTACATTACATACGGTCGCCCTGCCAATCTAGCAAATGGCCTTGAAGCCAGGTCGTGAAAGATCGGTTTGTCGGTTGAAAGCAATCATATATGGAACTCTTTCAGCCACTGTGCAGTTGACGTAAAGTGTCCGTGCGGTTGTATTGCAATTTGATACGCTGTCGGTGCAGCCCCTTGGCGTATTTGGCCATCAAATTGAAACTTTTGATTAACTTTTTAAAATCGTTGGAAGCGTGTAAGGGTCACAACACCAACACCAAAAACAAACTTCACAACACCAACACAGTTTTGTTTTTGGTGTTGGTGTTGTGAAGTTTGTTTTTGGTGTTGGTGTTGTGACCCTTACACGCTTCCATAGATTTTAAAAAGTTAATCAAAAGTTTCAATTTGATGGCCAAATACGCNCATGGTACCATCTTGTCTTTACTATTTGTCCTGTATTCAGTGATCTCATGGTACCATCTTGTCTTTACTATTTGTCCTTTATTCAGTGATCTCGTGGTACCATCTTGTCTTTACTATTTGTCCTTTATTCAGTGATCTCGTGGTACCATCTTGTCTTTACTATTTGTCCTTTATTCAGTGATATCGTGGTACCATCTTGTCTTTACTGTTTGTCCGGTATCCAGTATTCTCGTGGTACCAACTTGTCTTTAATTTTTTGTCCTGTATCCAGTATTCTCGTGGTACCATCTTGCCTTTACTACTAGATCTTAGCGATGAGAAAGCTTGTATTCAGTGGTCTCATGGTTTCTTTTCAGGCTCATTACAACAGTGGAGAATATATCATACGGCAGGGAGCCCAGGGCGACACCTTCTACATCATAGCAAAAGGCATTGTGAGTAACTGTAACAGCGACCTTCCTATAATAATCATTATTATCGCTTTTAATGTAACTGCATCTTACCCATAAACAGATACATGTAGGATAGATTACAAAAAAATCTGGTCGGCTAATAAATTAACTCGTGGCTTTATGAGGTAAAAATACAATTTATGTACACCGTGATTATCTGGAAAATTGCTCAGTTTTGCCCAGTTGTTGTTGCGTGACAAGCGTCCATAAACACATTTTAAGGAAATAAGAGAAAAGGGAGAGGCCTTGAAGAAAAGTCGTAATGCAGAAACCGAGAGATTAATAATAAAATTCGAACTATGTTTTGGGATTTCTTAAGGCAAAGCTAAAGCCTAGATTACATTTGCCACGGGCGCCGTACGATGGAATCGTAAACGATTGCCTGCACGATTTTTTGACATCGTAAGGGGCTGCAGGCTACGCTGAGTATGTCTACATTACATACGGTCGCCCTGCCAATCTAGCAAATGGCCTTGAAGCCAGGTCGTGAAAGATCGGTTTGTCGGTTGAAAGCAATCATATATGGAACTCTTTCAGCCACTGTGCAGTTGACGTAAAGTGTCCGTGCGGTTGTATTGCAATTTGATACGCTGTCGGTGCAGCCCCTTGGCGTATTTGGCCATCAAATTGAAACTTTTGATTAACTTTTTAAAATCGTTAGGCCGCAGGCAGTAACAATATCATAGATGGCATTGCGCAGTTCCCGCACGGGCATTGTTCGGTGGACTTGCAGTGATCGTGATAATGGTTGAACCTGTTGGTCTCTTTCCCTCTTATTTGTTGGTTTAGGAGGCATAAGAATAATTAAGATGTTAAATGTTAGTATATCAGAGGAGTTGTTCAAGTCCTTGGTGTAATTCAATTGCAAATATGTGATATTGTGATTTTTCTTTATTTGAACACAATGTTGAAAAAAACCGTAGGGGGCTGCGCCGACATCGTGCCAATCTTCAGTGAAGCCGCACAAAAGGCGTGCGGCAACTGTGATGAGATTGAAAGGGCTCCAGACGATCATTTTTCAAACGAAATGCAATTTTCCCCATGTGAACTCGAGGCAATGTTGGAGAAATGACACGGCTCCCGCATGCTATGTAAACGTACTCACCTTAGCCCGTACGTACCTACTTACGATTTTGAAAAAGATCGTACGGAAAATCGTAACCACCTTCATCGTGGCAAATGTAATCAAGGCTTAACAATTTTGACAGCTCCTTATCGCAGGATTGCCTTGCACTGTTGCGCGATAACCGCAAGTCCACCGTACAGTGTACAATACCTGTGCAATTCCCGTGCGGGGATTGCGCAATGCCATCTCGATATTGTTACGGTCTACGGGCGTACGATTTTAAAATTTTGTCAAAAGTTACATCTTGACAAAATCGTAAAGACTGCGGAGGGCTTAAATCCGCACGGCCATCGTCTACCTCCCCTCGGACGCCATACGAAAAGGGAATTACGGGCTGTAAACGTGCACCGTGCGGGCGCCGCATTTCAAATGTAATCTAGGCTTAACCAATTAAAATGCTTCCAGATAGTGGACGAAGTGCATTAATGCCAAAGGGACTATATAAAACAATAGTGAAATGTTGCCTTGTTTTCCTAACTCTTTCTGATGAGACCTACATTATTTGAACGACCCACGTACCTTATAAGTGTTTCTTACGTTTGCTACGATTCGACGGTCTTCGCAATATGTTATTTAACTGAATTCATACGGCATCTATGCTTTTTGTTGGTATCAGTTTACTAAATTAAGACCCTTATTACTCGATAACCAGATCGATGCGTTTTGCGGAGACAGTAGTCCTCTGTGTTGGGCTGGCTTGAAATATGCAGATTGTTATCGAACATATTGGTATTTGTACGTATACATATGAACATATGAAACTTTGCTGTTTTTATTTCCTAATAAATATATAATATAATTTTATATTAGCCAGCCCCATGGCTTTGAAATATGCAGCCGGGGTAATATTGTCTTCTTTTTAAATTTTAACCATGACCTTTTAATGTATTTTGTTTGTTTGTTGTTCTTGTCAGGTGAAAGTTACGAAAAGAAGTTCAAGTTCCAATGAAGAAGTATTTATTCGTACGCTACAGAAGGGAGACTTCTTTGGTGAAAGAGCTCTACAAGGGCAAGTGGGAATTATTGTTATTGCTATTAATCATGGTTGTATTTAAGTACAATTGGTTAGGGATTTGAATGTCTTCGTGTACTGTGTATCATATATAATAACCTATCGTCCTAAAATGACTTTTTAAATTGCAAAAACAAAATATGTTTTTGTCGTGCGGTTAATAATTGTCTATATCTTTTGAATCAACAATATCATTTTGCACTCTCAGTCGATACATGTATTTCTGTGTGAAGCACACGCGCCACACGTGTACAACTGTATGCCATCTGCACCTCTGGTACGGTCATCGTCAATACTGTATTTAAACAACTTCAAATTTAGCTTTTTAGTTATTTATAATGTAACATCAGTGATATACGGCACCAAATATCATTGTTTCGGTGCCTCACATTACCATAGGTGTGCGTTCCTATGCTGTTTCACCTTCACTTGATCAGTTTATTCAATAAGTGAATCCCCACGATTTCCCCAAATATTACTTTTCATTTATGTGGCTCTCATTTCTTAACAGTTCCCCATGTTTTTTGACTTTCAATTTTACCCAAAATTTCTCACGTGGCCACGGTTTATTGACAATCGAAGGAATACGTTTTAAAGTTAATCCTTTTTAGGTATGAAGTGCAAGGTATTAAGTGATGTGTTTTGCATCACAGTGGTAAATGATTGTAATCAATTATGTTTCCTTACCTCATAATGAATTTGTTCAGTGTTCATTATACGATGTAATTTTACCGAAACCCAGTGAAAATCACATATGAAAATTACTTTTCCCAGCGAAAGGAAGTGTCTCAGTCGTTTCTTCACGTGTCGTACATAACGGCACCATCTACATCTTCCTTCAAAATGTCAGCAGACGACATTAATTTTTATAAGCACGATCTGTCAACAACAACTACCTTATTAATCATAGGAATTAATCAGAGAAATGAAATTGTTAAAAACCTAAATGAAAAGAAACCTTAAAAATGGTCCTTGATAATTGACAAATCGTGACTATGGTTGCATGTTGTTTTGGTGTATAAGATTAGGTGGTATGTAGATCTGTAAGCTGCTCTGATCAGTTTGATACAAGACAGTTGACAACCTCGCTATCTTTCAAATCACTGGTTAACACGTGACACACCGTCTCGTAACTCGTAAACAAAACCTCACGTCAGCGTGTCTTTGTATATATACACGAGGTTCTCAGCTGTTTAGCTAAACGTAAACATGATGACAAGACTGAAGAGGTTATATTCTAACATTCGTGCTATGAGTATGTCGTGTTTAGGAAAGTCGAATAGGTGCGTTACTGTGGATATGATTAGAAAAGATACATGATGGAAATGAAAAATCGGATTGATTTGCAGAATTTCCAACAAAACCTATGGTTTTGCTTTTTCATGATTTGATCTATTTGAATAAGAAGATTTTGATTCGAGATTTTTAATTTATTGTTTTTTTTGCGAGTTGCGTGACAAGTCACGAAGATGTTCTTAAGTGTCTGTGTGTGATTCAGTTGAAATTGAAAACTAGTTGCGCTTCTGCAATGGAAAGGACGGACGTTTAAATATTAATTTTCATTTTAGAGAAGACACACGGACTGCTAATATCATAGCCGCGGATTCTGAAGGCGTGGATTGTCTGGTAATAGACAGAGAGTAAGTACATATGAAGTCAGAGTAGGTTTTTATCTGAATATTACTTTTATATTGTTATATGTATAATGTACTATTATACTATGATTTATTTTATTATATGTATTATGTACAAGTATGCTATGATACATATCATTTTATGTATAAAGTATAATTAATTATATTTCATACACACACATGTATTTAACATGCTGTTTGCGCAAGGTCCGATTTTTAACTGCTCTTCAGCAACAGGTTTGAAATGTTATTAAAACAGTGGTGAAAATTCATCTAAATATCACGTACATTAAGAAAGGTAACAAAAAGGAAAGGAACGATAACAATTGATACACTAGTAATTTAATAGCAATAATAATAGAACTGAGCTGACGGATTTTGATTTCATTATGATTTGGGATTCCTTTGCAATTGATGAAAGTCCGTTCTTTTCATAACTGTAATATTTGGACACACACACACACACACACACACACACACACACAGTTCACACACACACACACACACACACAGTTCACACACACACACACACACACAAATATGACAGTCAGTTTATACATGTAAGAACGGAGCTGAAATTCGAACATGCTGCGACCATATTGGCCAAATCAATTGTAGATCTAAACAAGATATAAACAAGATAGGTTTCTCATTGGTTTCCTGTTCTTATAAACCACATTGGATAGAATGAAACTAAACTTGAATAGACCATGAAGACAATTTAAGATGAAATATTATTTAAACATTTTAAACGTACCTTGTATCAAAACTGTGAACCCCGCTACATATATTAGTACATGGTATAAATACCTTATATCAAACTGGTGCTTTATAGCGGAATCACTGTGCGTGTTGTTAAATAGATGGTATCTTTTTTACTGTGATTTCTCGTTGTACTGATATACTGTGATATCTTGTAAGTGTGTTCTGGGAAAGCATTATATTGTTTACAATTGCCTTTAAAATACTGCCAAACCAAGGAACCAATGGTTTTGTAATCTTCATTACGTCTTTAAAAATTTTGGGGCAGCTTTCCAGTTTTTTTACCATAGTTACACACTGGCTTTAAGAACAGCTCGATAGATTTTTTGTGATAGTGAAAATACCGCGGATATAGAAAGTGGCGTCCATGAGAGCTGCCCCCGGTATTTATAGAGCAACATTCATGAATGGTGTATTATAGCACTTCATTGTGGTCGTAATAAGATATATTTGTGTCTATTTATGAAACCCAAGACCACATCTTTAAGTTGTTTGTCATATAAGCTTCTTTGAAATTGTTTGTAAGAGAACTTGCGTGTTGAAACAGAGCTCGCAATGAACAACATCCTTTACATGTTAAATCGCTACACGAATGACGTGGGCATGTGTAAAACCGCGTTTCTATTTTAGTGTCCTATACATGCCGTGCAATTTTTAGACTGTCGTGTTCCTTAAACGACCCGGCACGTTTTAATGTCGAGTGTTTGAACATGGCACGTTTAATGTCGACTGTTTGAACATGGCACGTTTAATGTCGAGTGTTTGTGTGTGTGTGTGTGTGTGTTTTTTTTTTTGTTATTCTGATCACCAAAAAAGGAAATATGCTCTGGTTCAGATATCGATTTTTTTTTATTCATTGCAGCTCTTACAATCAGTTTATTAGCAGTCTACACGAGTTACAGAGAGAATACGCCGATGAAACAGACTCTTCAGAGAAGTACGTAAATGCCACGTGGTCATGCCTTCACCTTGTCGCAGTGTTAGGCCCATGCTTGTAATATATTCAGACTTTCATAAGTAGATAAAAGAAGGGGGGAAGGGGGGGGGTACGGTTCATATTTACTGAATTTATATTTTTACCAACGACAATCACGCCAGTGTCATGAGCAATTAACCCTATGTGTTGATATACTACGTACGTCTGTTTTATGCAATGAGTTTGGTCTAAATCTTTTCAGAACAGACAATGAGTTTGCCAAACTGCGTCTCAACGATCTTAGCGTTCTCTCCACGCTAGGAGTAGGGGGGTTTGGACGAGTAGAGCTGGTAAGGAAAATGTAATTTTTTCATTAAATATTTTCTGTACACACCTTCCAATTTTGCGTTTACTGCTCATGTTGGGATTATTTATACTTCCTCAAAACAACTTGATAAGAAGATATTGTCAGGTACATCCGACAGAGGCAAAAAATAGCAGTTGAACTCAAAGTCATGGTGTATTAATAATCCGTAAATTAATCTAAAAGTGAAACTTACATTTGGGTGGATTAATATGAACATCGAATGGCCAGAGGTACTTCATGTTTGCGATTATGAATTGAAGAATCTTGATATTAAAAGTTGAAAGTACCCACATGCGCTTTTAGATTTTATTTTGTGATATGTTTTAATATCTGGTGTTATTGAATTTGAATATCCTTCTTGTTTTTCCAGGTCCAGATAAGCAATGACACAAAACGAACATTTGCACTTAAACAACTAAAGAAACATCACATAGTGGAAACGCGTCAACAAGAACATATCATGAATGAAAAAAGCATTATGTCGGATGCCAGGTCCGAGTTTATAGTGCGGTAGGTGCAGTCTTGGTTCTCGAGGTTTTTCAGAAAACTGGGTGAGAACAACACGCCATCTGTGGAATTTAACATAGTATTATTTTATATTATATTATCTTTTATGTTGCTATCCAAATAAGGGCCACTCATTGTGCAGTACACGTGTAAATAAGATCGCCAAATAGGTCAAAAGTACAGCTTTCCCCCAATCAAATAATATTAAAAAACTGCATATAAATTAACGCACAAATGAGCTATAGAAATAACAAAATTATTAAAAGGTTGCAGTCAGTAAAAAAGTTACGCTTAATTGATGTGTTATGTTTCAGATTGTATCGTACATTTAAAGACCGCAAATACCTCTACATGTTGCTGGAAGTTTGCCTTGGCGGCGAAGTGTGGACATTGTTAAGAGACAAGTACGTATGACGTCAAACTGACTTCTTATGGAATATTATGACCTAGTTCTAGTTAACCCATAACCCTGGAATATAATAACTTAGTTCTACATATCCCATAACTTAGGAATAGAATTACTTAGTTCTATATAACACAACTCTGGAATATAATGACTTAATTCTGTATGACACATATACAATAGTATGAAGACACTTCTCTTACCATATTTATATTAAGGCCCATATTTATATTAAAGACCAATAGTATGAAGACACTTCTCTTACCACATTTATATGAAAGGCCAATAGTATGAAGACACTTCTCTTACCACATTTATATGAAAGGCCAATAGTATGAAAACACTTCTCATACCGTGTTTACATAAAAAGTATGAAGACACTTCTCTTACCGTGTTTACATAAAAAGCCAATAGTATGAAGACACTTCTCTTGCCATGTTTATTTGAAAGGCCAATAGTATGAAGACACTTCTCTTGCCATGTTTACATGAAAAGCCAATAGCAGGCCACACACTGCCTTTTGGACTCCAACCAAATTCACTAATATGTATCATGATAAAGCCTCTTTGAAGTGGGAGAGGGGAGGGACTACGTGTCAGTATCTTCGGATAAATGTATGTAGTTGGCATTAAGAACACAGTGGTTCTAGAACACATATGTCATTAAGAGCACATTGGCTCTAGAGCACATATGGCATTAAGAACACAGTGGTTCTAGAGCACATATGTCATTAAGAGCACATTGGCTCTAGAGCACATATGGCATTAAGAACACAGTGGTTCTAGAACACATATGTCATTAAGAACACAGTGGTTCTAGAGCACATATGTCATTAAGAACACAGTGGTTCTAGAACACATATGTCCAACCGATAAATTCAGTTGACAAGCCAACCACTGTTGACATTTTGCAACGCGCCGCGAGAGCACCCTTTCACTTACGAGGCCTAACTCTCAACTACGTGGAACTGAGCTACAGGAGTTTTACAAACCACGCCTTGCACATATAATCTCGTGAGGCTGCTACTTGTACTAAGTACCTGTCTGCCGGTTACTTGCTCTCCAACCGGGTTTGGCCCTTTGACAAATAGAGATCGAATGTATCTCAAATCAAGCCTCTCAATTCTGTGTCGTCTAAGTGTTCCTGAATAGGTTTTGGTTTTAATCTTAATGTGGCACGACTTGATACCATGTAGCATTTTAATAACATATATAATTATGTACCGCTAACTTGCAATAATTCATTGGTGGCAATTTGTAATTCTGAAAACAGCCTTCACAATGTAAGCGAAGTGTCTGCCCATCCATTTTCTTGCTAATTAAATTACGTCAAGATTGTTGTTTTGGCATTTATGATTTGGGGAGATTGGTTATGCTAACATATGTTAATGAAATGTTATGGATCAAGTACACTGGTACAACATTGCCCGTCATGCTGGATGCCCGCGCACCTGTATATTAAATGCCTGTTTACTCGTTTAGTTTTCAAAACTTAACTAGTGTGTATTGAAATGAAAAAACGGCATACTATTATATGTATATGTATATGAATATGTTTATATTATATGAGTAATGACATATTGACAGTGAAATGATTATATTCCAGAGGCTCATTTGATGACCAAACAACACGGTTTTACACAGCATGTGTTGTGGAGGCATTTGGATACTTACACACTCGCGGTATTGTTTACCGGGATCTGAAACCAGAGAACCTGCTGCTGGACACCCTAGGATACGTCAAACTGGTGAGTGTTGCTAGGTAACATCAAACTGGTGAGTGTTGTAACGTCATATTGGTGAGTGTTGCTAGGTTACATTTAAAAGCGGAGTGCTGCTACGTGTTGGATATTGGTACATGACAGTGGTTAGGGTGCTGTTGTCATATTATTTGTGTATCAAATTGGTGAATGTCCCGAGTTGACTTTAAGATATGACATTTGAGTGAGACCTCAGTGATACGCAGAATATGTAAAATTGACTGTCAAACACCTCAGAATCGCTGATTATTACTCAGTCATACATACGTGTTTATTATTAACAAACCCCAACAGAAATACTTATGCTTCTTCATCCCATCACTTCACACTGAAAAGTTTAAGGTAAATACATATCCAAATGTAAATTACACAATGTATTGAATTTCAGGTTGATTTCGGTTTTGCTAAGAAGATTGGATATGGCCGGAAAACGTGGACGTTTTGTGGCACACCAGAATATGTCGCTCCAGAAATAATCCTCAACAAAGGTCACGATATCTCCGCAGACTATTGGTCGCTAGGGATCCTCATGTTTGAGTTGCTGACTGGAAGGTACTCGTTTGATCATGATAGTGTTTCTATATGACACATATACGTTTATATTTATAGATAGTGTTGCTAGGGGCAGAGTGTTACCTGACATTGTGTTGCTAAGGGCAGAGTGTTATCTGTGACACTTTGTTGCTAAGGGCAGGGTGTTACCTGGGACATTGTGTTGCTAGGGGCAGAGTGTTACCTGTGACACTTTGTTGCTAAGGGCAGAGTGTTACCTGTGACACTTTGTTGCTAAGGGCAGAGTGTTACCTGTGACAGTGTGTTGCTAGGGGCAGGGTGGTACCTGTGACACTTTGTTGCAATTGCTAGGGGCAGGGTGTTACCTGTGACACTTTGTTGCTAAGGGCAGAGTGTTACCTGTGACACTTTGTTGCTAGGGGCAGGGTGTTACCTGTGACACTTTGTTGCTAGGGGTAGGGTGTTACCTTATTAAGTGCTGTTGCTGTTACATAAAATGATCATTTCAAATAACGGACAGTTAAAGTGTATATGAACATTTGAGTTCACATATGAAACGGTTTTGATTTCTCAAAGCCGTGTTATTACCTGATGCATTTGCTTACTTTTTAGTCCACCTTTTACTGGATCAGATCCGATGAAAACTTACAATCAGATACTGAAGGGCATAGAAGCTGTAGACTTTCCAAGAAAAATAACCAAAAATGCACAAAATCTTATCAAAAAGCTGTGCAGGTGAGTACTCTGAATTAACGGCTGGTCCAACTAGCGGCAGATCTCGGTGGGAAATTATAGACGAGTCCAGAAGTGCACTATCGTTAACTGCGTACCAAATTACAAATTGTTACAATAGTTTAATGGTGAAATGCAATTTATTACATAATTAAAATTGTGGCTTGTTATGCATGGGATCCGTTCGTGATTTGTAGATGTCTCCTTAGTTCTTGTGGTATTTATGAATAATCGGAATAGTACCAGATTAATTAATGTCATGCAGCACATCGTACACTATATATGTCTTCGTTTACTGCATTTTTAGCCACCATACACAAGGTTAAAATTGATATAAATTGGGCTGTATGTATTCATTTTACATGTACTTACATTATTGTCAGCGCTGTTTTGCCGTGGTATGTAGTCACCAGTAGCTTTGCTGTATTCTAGGGAGTCCCCTAGCGACCGACTGGGTTATCAACGTGGTGGGGTCAAGGACATACAGAAACACAAGTGGTTTGAAGGTTTCAACTGGGATGGGCTGAAGAAACGATCTTTACAAGCGCCCATAGTACCATCTGTGAGTCCTCTTTACATCATACATGTATGACCTTCACTTTAAACGGCTTCTCTGTGGTCACTGTGTGAGTGCGTGGCTCAGCACGTGCTACCTGGTCTCAATTAATGCAGAGTAGAGTGAAGCACAGGAAAAGCAAATGTAACATGCTTATATTTAATTTGTTGGTTTCCGACACCTACACGAATTCTGAATACGCAGCACGTGAAGCCATACGTATATGTTAATAAAAAGTTTACAAAGAACATTTCAAGAAAGGATTTCTCTATCTCTTCCTCCCCTCTCCTCTCTTAAACACTTAAAAGTTGTAAATATATTTCGACATTTGAATTAAGTACCCCGGTAGAAGAAAGTATGTATTCAACTATGCATACGCTGTTTTAAATATTTTTTGAAATCAATTTACAAGATTGCTATATTATTTACAATTATAGGTAAAATCGGCTACAGACACTTCAAATTTCGATGAGTATCCAAGTGACGATGAAGATCCGCCGCCAGATGATCTGACTTTATGGGACAAAGAATTTTAAGGGTCATATCCGCGCCATGTCTGGGGTAGAATCAATGAAGGGTTTTTACAGACCGTAGCCAGTTCCGAATTCATTTGCGCCGCTATGTTGTGTTTGGGTACACGGACCTGTAGACTCTGTTACGAACTCTGTGAGTTTTTGCAATTAGGCAGAAACCGCCCTTTGTGGATGGAAGAAACAAATATGGGACATTCAATTGTCGTAGCAAACTTTGGTTCCTCGGACATCTTTGTGCAGCGTACACAGTCGAATTCATGATTCACAGCTACGTTATACCTGAACACGTGCAGGACTGGATGCCAGTAATGGCCCCTACATTATGTACACGGAGTCGATACGACCGTGTGTGCGTGTGTGTGTGTTTGTGTGTAGGGGGGGCTATCAAAGTGATTGGTTGTATTATGCTTTCTGTTACTGTAAAAGAACGCCTAAAGCGACCAAAGATAGTGATATCTGATATAAAAGCTCCATAAGCTACACCGAATATTTTATTTGATTAGTTGGAACCATTTTGGCGCACAACTGCGTGTTGCATTTCCCTGTTTGCCTACCATAGTTTATACAATGAAGAAGTACAAGAAAACAATGCGATAAAACATTCCAATGGTAACTTTGAGCAGAACCACATTTCAATCACTGTGTCATTCAAGACAAGCTGCAGCCGATTTCTTTGTTTTGAACTGTCAAGTAAACAAAATCAAGTCAGGAGGTGCTTTCACTATCACACTTATTATAACAGAATAGTGGTATTTCTGCAGCCAAATACTTTCATGGTTTCTTAGAATTACATGTATCAGGCTATATACGTAATGCAAACTGTAATAACAAAGCAATGTGGTTAATACATGTCTGTGCCCTTGCCTCAGATTCATCAAGTAATAATTTTCTCTTTATCTATGCATTATTATATCTCTCTCTTAACTAACCAAAGGACAATGTATAATGGTAATTGAATAACATGACGTGAGTCCAGTCATTACTACTGTATTGTATATACTAGCACTAGTGAATGATCATCAGAGCAGTTAGATAATATTGGAAAGAGGATAGTTTTTGAAAGTTAATGAGTTTCAGAATGTAGTGAAATATATATCAGATGTGGTCTTGTGGCTGAACAATAAGACCAGATGGCGAAGATTGTTGAAAGTCACAGATGCCTTCCACATCCAGTGTATAGGCATCATATGTTATGTTATTATTAGTAACAGGCGTTCTCCATAACGGGAAGAAGTGCCAATTGTTTCTTTGAATGAATAGCAATGTATCACATAAAATAATTAAACGAAGTACTTATTCTAATGATTGTTTTGGAGAGTGCCAATTGAAAATTGTTTGTAAGGGCAGGCATGGTTTAACCGATTTGGCCATTATATGTAAATTGAGTTGTAATTAATCATTCCATATGGTATCGTTTGGTTAATTTTCTATTGCCATTTACTGTAGCCCTGTAGCTGGACTCGATTGGCACACACGTAGAGTCAAATAACATGCAAACGAAACGAAGTCATAATACAAACGTACTTGTTTGTTGAATTTGTCATTCAGTTGATAATAAAAACTGAGGAATATTCTTTGTCTCAATTGCTTTCTCATAAATGGTTTTAATTCTACACCATACATATGTATGATGATATGCTGTCAACTGCAAACCTAAACTTATTTCAGTTAACATGCAAATAACAATGTGAACCTTCCAAACCAATCTATTAAAGTTCTGTATTTGTTTTCAAAATTCCTAAAAACTGGTCAACTTCGGTCCACGAAAGATGGGAAATAATAGACAGAAAAGGGAAAGATGTTGAAATTGTGCATAGCTTCTGTTAATCAGATACATTTTCCCCTAAAATATACTTCTCCATCAACTTCAATGAAAAAACACGTGACACCCGTCCACTATTCGTACATACTCTCATTATTTATGTTTATTTTTTCCTATTTCTTTTTCGTCTACCCTGTTTTATCTTATTTATATAAAATGTCTTTTCAAAACATTCGATATACTTTCTTGGGGTTCCCAAGTTGGAATCTTCTATCCTTTCACTTTAAAATGCCTCTTAGTCCATGGGCCAAATACCGAAACCCTAGGCCTTTTCGTTCACTATGTTTTCCTGATAGCTTAGGTCCTAAGCTTTTATTTTCTGCTTGTTTGCCATTAAACTGATGGTGGGTGGGTGTGCTACGGTCGTTGTCATGGTAACACACGGGTTTAAAATTAACATTTCTGAGACCAACAAAATCTAAAATATTTCAAATACATTAACTAAACAGAATTCAAAATCATTCCAGACGTGTAGTCTACGAAGTGCACTATACTTAACAATAAACAAAATTTTCCAAGATGGCGCCAATTTTTGCTGTTTTTTAAAGGAAATTTTGATATTTTTTATATTTTAATTCTTATTTAATTAAGAATTGCAATATCTGAGATATTTTGATGTACCAGTGTTGCATGGGATCTCTACTTTCTGCCCGTAGTGTTTGTTTAAGGTGCAATCTTTTTATTGAGATGAAAAATCCTGAAATCCAACATGGCTACCACAAAACATGTCTTTTACATGTAGCAGTCCAGTCTGGAAATACGGCAGATTTATCATCCAAAATTAAGTTCTTCATTACTTATAGCGTATTGAATATGAAACAGAACCCTTTTCAATTACTTAATTTGGATTATAGCATGGCTTTCAAAATTCAAAAAAGCCACCAATGACCATGAATTTACATCTTTTTAACCGGGGGGGGGGGGGGGGGGGGTCTACATTGGCCCAGAGACTAGAGTACCTTCTTGTTTAAGTTTTTACAACATAATAATCTTTTCACTTCCTATGTCATTGTTTTATCGGTTGTTTTGGATTTCCCCTTAGCATTCACTTTGTTACGCTTTGTCAAGAGTTTGCTACTGATTGATTGTGTAAATTCTGAATGTATTGATGGATATTTTGCTCAGGTTTATCTTCTGTTATTTATCTGTATCTAAAGGTGTACACATTTCTTTTCCAAAAACTGAGTAATACGGTGAATATTTAGTACATTGTGTACAAAATATCATTCTCAGTACCATCATTACTCCTGACATTATACCAGGCCTGTTTGATCTTTGCTACANTATTTTGCTATATTTTTACATAATTTTGACCTGTTACATGTATTTCAATAAACACATTTGTGCAATTCTAAATGGTACTTATTTTTTTTTCTTCTTCAAGAGAAGGACTCGGAAAATTTACATGGGACTCACATTTTGTCAAACATGTGAGTCCCATGGACTCGGATTTTAAAAAAATTATTGAGAACACTGGTAAGCTCTCAACGACTGTGCAATTAGAGAATGTGTTATCTCACATACAGCAATTGATACTCGTGTGATATCGTTTTAGATTTAATAATTTTCATTAAGATTGAATTATCTACGATCTGAATTTAAATAATTTGGATAACCATATGTAGTAAATACAGTAGTAATACATCACAATAAAGAACAATTGCAATCTCTTTTGCCTCCAAAGCGGAGAAAGCGCACATAACCTGTTGATATCTAAATTGTTGGGGGTCAGATAAATGGCGACACATATTTAATTTTTTGCCTGAAACCATTTTAATATATATATGTATAACCTTTTTTGCCATTTAATTTATATGTGAAACCTGGTTCAGGCTTTGTTGAAGGACCAAGGATATCCATATGACGTCTTTCAATCACATTCGCTATCGGTAACCGATTCAATATAACTGGTGCATCTCTTTGTGAATCCTTTACTTTCTGACAAGTTTCACATAATTTCACATCTTCTTGAACAGGCTACGTTTCACGTTAGGGCAAGGGTTAGGTATAACTTGTGCAATGTGCGAAAGAATTGCTAAGTCTGAACAGTACATGTACATCATAATTGATGGTATATTATATTCAAGTATAAACAGTTAAAATATTAATAATGTAGACAGTAACTTATGAAAAATTATCTATGGAGGCAACAAACAAGACAATTCAATAAAATCCTTTAAAATTGTCCATGTTTCAAGAAGTAGAAAGAGAGAAAGCATATCACTAACCTAACGATTTCGCTGTACCGTAAGATTGAATGAAGATCCTGTTTTCTATCTCAATCCCGCCCCAATTTCTATCACAATCCCGCCCCAATTCGTTCATTCGACCTATGTATGAAAGCTGATTTATATGCCTAGTCACGTCATATCAAGTGTGTTGACTTTGAAGTTGCGTTTTTATTTTTATTCATTTATTTTTGTCGTGTGTGTGCGTGTCATTATGACTTAATCAACTCCTAATTCCTCTCTTCGAGATGGAGATTTATTTTGCCTTCTCTTCAACCACACTATAATATTCAAACCGAAGCTTCCACGCGGACGTATGTGGCCTCTTCATTATTATGTAAATCAGGTGAGCGTTTTGGTGAAAGGTGCTCAGATAGGACCAAGGTCAGCAGAAGATGGAGAAGAAGGATTTCCCATGCCATATTGCTGCTACAGCCACATGTAGGCCGAAAAGATGGGACTGAAACCGGCAGCAGTATCTCGTAAGTTCCGTACAGATGATAAAAAATTTATTGTGGCAATTCTTAGTTTTGCATTGACGATATTTTCCCTAAATGGTGCACTATAGGCATAATGATTACGGGGACATCTAACTGACGTGAAGGATACTTTCTCTTAGCTTTCCCTCAGTGCCTTTCAGGCACCCTTTTGTTTCTAATACCATTACTTACCCATGAGGGTTAAATATGAATATATGTTTTTGTATAATTTTAAAGCTTAATTGTGTTTTGTTACTTATAACTCAAATAATGATAATGATACGAATTGCTGTAATGAGCATGCACTGCTTTATCAGATTTCCATACATTGTTTCATGAATGTGAATTTATTCCTTTATTTCCAGTGACTCCAAGCACCGTTAACGAAGTTGCCAGAAGCGTCCTACTCAGAGACACGTTTCGTGTTCGACACATTCAGCCCCACTAGTCTACACACCCGTGCCAAGATTGCCTCCTATGCCGACGTTGGTCTGCTCATTAATTTGCAGGGACGGCATTTAGTACGGAATGTTATGTTTGCTTTTGGTTGTAACATTATCCTTTAAAACGTATAGCAAATTAAAAGAAGAAAAAGATAAGCTTTTTATTTATGACTCTTCTCATAGAAATTAAGTCCATATTAAGTGTCCGCCCTGCATGACGTTGGTTTGCTTTTTTTTTGGTAACTGTATTTTACTGTGTTGTAGTACTGTGCTCTATTTGAACGTGGTGTTTTGGTTGATACCTGTCCATTTTCGAATCTGAAACGTGAGATTTGAAGTTCTTATTTAAGAGAAATAATGTCTCTTCAAAAATGATAGTGATTGCTTTAAAATTATCCTTTATTAATTTCTAAGAAAAGAAATGTGTTTTTATTTGTTACTGAAAATATGTGTGGGCAAATCTGCAACTTGACACCTCACTGTAAACTTGAAGACGTACTCTTATTCATTTTAGATGATGTTGACTTCTGGGAAGGAAAAAAATTGAAACCGCATTACATAATATGCATATAGGACACTTTTAATTACATTCATTGTGTGTTCAGTCGAAAAGGGGACGAGATGTAAATTTACAAAAGACACTGTTAATAAAACGTATAACGCCTTAGAAATCCCAAAATTGTGTAACGGGCAAAATGTGTCCGCGTTACTGCAGAACTGTCCACATGTACTATAACGATCTTTCAACAATTATGATTATGGCACTGTGGCTGTGATATCAGAACTGTGCACATGTACTGTAACGATCTTTCAACAATTATGATTATGGCACTGTGGCTGTAATATCAGAATTGTGCACATGTACTGTAACGATCTTTCAACAATTATGATTATGGCACTGTGGCTGTGAATAAACTTCCTCTGGTTCTCGGTGTTTTCAGTGCTGGGCCTGGATAAAATATCTGTTTTCTGAAACAAAATTAAACCATGGGGTGGGTTAAAGGTTGCCATCCGAAATAAAAATTTATTTAATATTGCAGAAATAGAAATGAGGTCTTTATTTCGCATATGATAAGAAAGCTGTTCCTATAGTTGGCTACAAAAATTTCCGAGGATCGGAATCATTTATGTGCCATTTAGGACTTATATTACAAAACGAAGTGTCGAAAAATAAAAACTGGAAATGGACTTCATTGACATATTATTTGTCCATTAAAATGTGTCTGTAGGACTGACATTAACCATAGCCTTTTGCATTCCATATTTTCAAAATCTTTTGAGCTGTCGCCAAGCCCAATTTTCGGGAGGGTTTTTAGACTGTCAACTTTGTCAATTTTGCTCAAAAACATAGTGAACAATCAATAAGTCTTAAACAAGATTTAATTTTTTCAAATTAGATTATAGGATTTATTTTATCTGTTACACTAAAGTTCATTCTAAAAGTTTGGGCAGTTACTTATTTGAGGATTGTACGGAATTTTCATCTAAAAATGTTATTTCAAAGTATTTTGTTCCTCTAATGGCATATTCAATATTCTACCAAAGTGTATGTAAACCTTAATACTTCGTTTGGTTTGAATTTTTAAAGTGAAAAACATG